CAGCCGTACATCGCCTGCTTTGAAGTCCTCGCACAGCTCGCACTCCTGCAAACCGCTTGGTTGAGGGCGCGACCGTCCTGCATGTCCTTTATATTACCCACAGCAAGCGACAATACGGCAGCCGAAAGCGGCATAAATAAGCTTTTCAGCACCACCGAGCCACTCGCATCTTTCCTCAAGCTAGTCGCAGACTGGGCGCACAGGCACTCCGTGCAACTAGCAGTCTCCCACCTTGCAGGGGAGAAAAATGTCTGGGCAGACGAGCTCAGCCGCAACCGCATGCACCGATTCCAGCACCGCATGCACGAACGCGTACGCATTTCACTGCAAATGCTTGCAGACCGATGCCACTGCATCCACCTGCACCCCCCAGACGCATTCTGGGCTAGCTCTTTGCTGGCTGCCTCCGCATGAGAATCGCACTTTTCGCAACCGAACGCGCAGCAAAAAAAAAAGACCAAAGCGTTGCAGTTTCACAGTGAGTACACTGCATGTAATAATAAAGCCTCTGCCTTCGCATCGGCATACAACACTGAGGCCGAAACACTCCTGAGCGCGGTAGGGGTCGTAGTAGCAGATTCAGGAGTTGCTCCGGACTGAAGAAGGGGTCGTGAACTCAGAGTAACCTTTGCGTCCTTTAAGAACCGCACTGCACTCTTCGCTACCCGGAGCAACACCTGAAAAAAAGGAGCGCGTCCGATCCGTTGCTTGCATTAGCTAAGAAGGGAGTAGCTGAGTAGCCTGAACGTTGCGTGTGATCTTTTTCTTTTTTTATACACGCATGTTTTGCTACTGCTTGTCTTGGCGTTGCAAATGTTGAGATCACCGCAGGGTTCAGGCTCACGCACTGCAGTGGGCGCCAAGCGCCCCGGAAATCTTCACAGCAAGATTTTGAAAACCCACCCAGCCCTCCCTGAAGCATCCTAACGCTCGCACAGCAAAAGGTTCGCGCAACCTTACAAGAGGCACGCACTGCCGAGATACAGCAAGGGGGGTCGTGAACTCAGAGTAACCTTTGCGTCCTTTAAGAACCGCACTGCACTCTTCGCTACCCGGAGCAACACCTGAAAAAAGGAGCGCGTCCGATCCGTTGCTTGCATTAGCTAAGAAGGGAGTAGCCTGAACGATCTGTGTTCGTTGGTTTTTCGTTGCCCGGTGCTCCTGCGACCTAACTTGGGTTAGCGGAGAACAGGTCAATCCTGGAAGGACCCCTCCTGCCAACCCAAAATGGGTTGCGGGAGCAAAGCTCAGTCCTGTATGAGCGATTTCGTCGTTGCACAGGTCCTCTGATCCCTGAATCCTCCTTCTCAAAATTAGTTGAGGCACCAACGTAGGACAGGAGTCCGTGTAGCTTTGCTCGGATTGGCTTTTGCGCCGCTTTCGTGGTGCGCGGTCTGGCGTGCAAAAAAGATAATAGTTGAAGTTCTTGCTTCTTGGCGATCTGTTTTTGCCCGTCTTCCCTTGGGGTGTGCAGTGTTGCTGATATCCAGAGCTACTCGTAGTGGTGGTGAAAAGCTGTGTAGAAAGAATCTATGTGTCGGGTTCAAATCTGGAGCCTCTACCGTGTGCGTCTTTGACCGAGCGGGTTGTCCTGCCGGAGGCGAATCTGGCTTCGCGCTTCAACGGCACAGGTGAACGACTCAGCAGCAGGGTTTCTCGACGTTTTTGGAGTTGCGAGCAAAGAGACTTAACCACTTCCCCCTTGTATTAAACGTATCCCTGACTATCGAAACACTTTCGGGAGAATCCTGCCGAAATCGACCCCACCTTTTCAACCATATTCCGAATTTGGGGGGGTTCAAAGCCAAAAAAACCCTCAAGCCAATCTAAGCCCTATCCCAAAAGACGCATATGGATAAAAGCATCCCCCTTATATTAAAACACATTTCCAGTTTCTATTTGGGGGGGGGGGGCCGCGTTTAGTAGTAGGCGGAAGGGATTATGAGCCCGATACAGCTCGCCGAGCATGATATCATGAAAGCAGCACAAACTTTGGACATTGTGCCGGTTTGGTGGTTTTTTGGAGGTGCTGCATGTCATGAAGGAAAGGCCGATCCCAAATCCTAAGTGTTACTCCAAAAGGGATTAGCGCATCAACCTGGAAGTCCTCCGTGGTGTTTTCCGAAATTTCTCACCCGAACACCAGTCAGGCGACCGCCGGGCCCCGGCTGCGCAGGGCCAAAGAAGCTCCAGCGGGATAGCGCCGACGGTGTGGGACACAGTTTAACCCGGCTTCAGGCCAGGCGGCGTTCGGGCAGGTGTTGAGTTCACTCGATGCGACGATTGGTTTGTTCGGGCCGGGTGGGGTGGGGGGGGGGGTGGTGTGCAGAGCGCTTAGGGCCTAGGGGCATCTAATTTACCATGTTCGTAGTGGTCGTGGGGATCTTTGTGAAAAAGTCCATGTGCTGTTGGAATCGGCGGAGGATAAGAAAGACATATAGGCTTGTGGGAAGGGCTGAAGCAGACATGCAAGGCAAATCTATACTCCCAGCTCCTTTCTGAAGAGAGGGTCGCATCTTCTGTTGAGAAGGTCGGGGTTTCGTCTAGCCTCCCATCCCACTCTTTTGCTCGCATGGCCCGATGAAGCCTGTTGGGGAGTCGATCAAGTCATGTTCAAAAACTGAATCTACGCACAACAGCATGCCCCACTCTGGCTTTGGTGTGTTGCCATGATGTACAGTAAACAGGCCAGCATCGCCCACAATTGGCTGGAAAGCCTGTCGTGAGTATTCAGAGCGCTTTGGGCCCTGAGACCCCGCCCCAATTTTCCTCCAACCCAACCCCACTTGACTGCCCCCCAAACCAGACAAGGTGGATTCGCCAACAGCGAGGGCCCGCCAGCGACTAAGGGCTTGTGATTCCGCATATGTGACTCCACATGTTATACGAACTGGGTGGACCATGGTGGACCCGTCGCTCTCACCCATCTTGGTCCATTGGACGTTTTGTGAGGGTCTTGCGACGCTTGTGAGTTCTCGGGTTCTTGTGATCTGGGCTTTTGGATTTGGGCTGAACCTTTCTTTTCAGGGGAGTCCCCGTTAGAAGTTGCTGGTGCTCCGGGCCCGCTGTTCAGGCTTGGAGTCGTCATCCCAGTGCTGTAACGGTTTGATGCCACAAGAAGGGACACGTTAACTGGACGATGAGGCGAAACGGAGATACCCATGACTTTGGCTGAGACAGGAAACGCAAGCAAGGCAGAAGCCATTATAGAACCTTTTCTTCAACTGCAGCGCATGGAAGGATTCTTTGTGGCAGTGTATCACATTCAGGCTGTTAGTTAGAAACTCGCTCAGACAAGTGGGGGAGACGCTGCCATGCATTCCGAATTTTTGTGCCCGATGTACAGGGAAGATCATCAATTTCAAGCTCCAGCAGAGCAGGGTGACGATGAAGAGAGTTCGACCCAACGAATGAGCTCATTCTGACAAGCTCAAGACAAGCGCCGCCTGCTGCAGGAATGACCGGTTTTTCCCCGACCTCGCAGCCGCGGCCCGAAGCAGACGATTTGCTCAGGGATGAGTTGAAATTATCATGTTGGCTGTTTGACGATGTCCAGGTTTTCAGGTTTTGGGCCAAAGGATCTTTGTCACGACTGTTTGTTGCAGGAGGGCTGCAATGTTCAACAGCTCTGAAGTTGGACTGTTGGACAAAGTTCGGCTTTGACCATGGTTTGACTGACCCATCTATGAGGGCTGGGTCTCTTTGGTGATCGTTTCAATGTGCAGCCGCACACGCGCAGGAACGCACACGCGCACGCACACGCGCACGCACACGCGCACGCACACGTGCACGCGCACTCCGACGCACGCACGCACGCATGCTGTTAAGGTCCGCAGCGCGAAGGATCCTCGACTGCGACCCAACGTCCTCCAAAAAAGGGTGCAAAAGACCCGCCACAAAATCTGCCTGTTTGACCCTTCAAGGTCCGGCCTATCTGCAGCGCCAAACTCCGCCCGCCAGCGGAAGTTCAAGGAATGATCTTTGGTGTGGTCGATTGGGTTCATCCGGGCATGAGCTTGCGAAGACTTGAGGCTCAGTGGTGGCCTTCATCGATCCTTGCATGAGTTTGTTCCCTCCCTGCCAAGTATGACAACTGAAGTGGCAGCCGAAATTCTCGTCACTCTTTTCCCGATGATCGGTTGTCAAGATAGGAGCTGCATTGCTTGCACATACCATGATGTGGAACTTCGAAGACAAAACAACCTCGAAGCAGTTAAGCCCTTTATTTGTGGCGGGGGGTTCTTACATGTTCAAAGCTAAAGCTGCGTGCTTGGAGATGATGTCGGATGAGCGTGCCGCCCATACTTCCTGGTACACCACACAGGACGCAGGTGTCGAACATAGCAAGTCGCCTCTTGAGTGAGAGTCATACAGTAGTTACATAGTTCGGATGCCAGATACACAGAAAGCCCATCCTCAAACCCCCGAAGCGGAGGGCGACTCGAAAGCAACACCCCCTTGCCAAAAGGAGCTTCACAGCTCAGCCACGCTCATCTGAGTGAGCTGGCCAATTGAGAGTCTACCGTGGAGTCGTTCGACTCGGTTAGACTCGATTTGACTCGATTAGACTGGCTTAGACTCGGCACTTCAAGGCTGCCGTTTGCAGGTGAAAATGGATTGCGGCAGGGTCGGGCTATTCTCTTTTCGAGCATCCCCGAGGCGCATAGCCCAAAAGCACTGTTCAAAGTTAAGGCTGAGTCACTGAGGGCCACACGAATTTCTGTTTCACGAAAGGGGTTCTCTCATGTTCCGTCGTAAACTCGAGAAGCCTTCGCAAAGCCCAACGCCTCAACCCTCCAACCTACAACGAAACCAGCAGTGTTTTACATCAGTTGAAGCCACGTTCTGAAGCGTGAGCCCAGAATGGGAGCCCATGACCCTGGAACTTAGACAGCGAAACTGTCAAGAGTGAATGAGGCCAACTGCCGCCGAGTGTCGAGCAGCACTCTGACAGCGTTGGTTCAAGCCTGGCTGGGAGATTCAAAGCGCCACGGTGCGCAATGGCAGAGGAGGACGTTGTGCCAGCCCGCTCCGGGCCCTTGGAGCATCTTGCACTCGAAAAGCCCTACCGGTTGGCGAGAGTTGAGTTCAGGGTTGAGGCTTGAAGGAGTTGAGGGCTGAGGGTTGAGGCAAGGGTGCGTTTATGTTGGGGCCCAGAACTTGAGTGGTTCCAAAGGCCAATGCGAATGCAATGACGCTGGAAACTCAACTAGCTGATCTGGCTGACGAGTGTGTGGTTGAACGACTGCAACGATGCGTCGAAGCGGATGGTACATGCGCATGCAGTGAGTGTTCAAGCAGGCAATCCCAACCTCAACCTTGCCTCAACATGGCCTCCCAGCTTCAATATTCCTTAAGCCTGCAGTCTGCAACTTGGCGCTTGAAGCTGAGAAAATGAGGCGCTTCATTTCCCGGGAGCCACGCCCGGACTATGTGCGAAGGGCGGCGCTGGCATATGCTTGCACGCAGGTTCCTCGCCTCAAGAAGTTTCATTCGTGAACTCCCCTAAGCCCTAAACTGTAAAAACACATCTTCCCCGAAGGCGTCTTCCCGATTCTCTGCCGCTGTTTTGCCGTTCAGTCCCGAAACTGCGGCAAGCAGGTGTGCTTCGAAAAAGGGCACTTGAAGAATAAATGCGTCGCCCAAATGTCGCATTCTGGCGGAGTTTCCATGACCCCATGGCTCCCGTTTTCCTGCTCTGGTCCGAAATGTGCAGCTTTCCAGACTGTTGTTCCTGTTGGGGTACCCCAAAAAGCAACACAGGACTTTCAGGGGAGAACGCTGTAGAACTGAAACCCGGCAAGCAGGCACTTCAAACTGCAAACCCAGGGTCGTTGAGCTTAGCCTTGTTTAAACTTTCCGTGGCTTCTTGCGGGCTCTCATGAGATCGCTGAGGTTGGTGCAGGGCTCTTGGCCCTGGGCCCCGCTGTCGGGCATGCTGGCTGGGTGGGCACCTGGGTTTCAACTTGAAAAGGGCACTTTAACAGACATGCTTGGCAGACTTCGGATGCTTCGTGCTGTCATGAGTGGACTCCAATGCTGTTGCAGCGGAGGCATTCCCGTCATCGTGCTTTGCGCGTGCTGTGCCGCGTACACCTCCTATCTCTTCGGCTGGATCATGTTCCAAGTCCAGGCGAGCTGTTATGGACAAAATTGCATAAGCATTGTTCATTCACCGTGTTAATCATTTTGCTGGTCTGTTTCACAGTCTTCCTGTCCATGCAGGAGCTCTTCAAAAACTCCAGGTCACCCAGCTACGAGGACATCGGCTATCAAGCCGCGCGCCACAAATCAGCCCCGCGGGGAGAGTGCAATTTGAGGTAAGCATCCCTTGAATCACGGTCAGGCCCCAGAATCTGTCGTGGTCCCGAAAGAACACCTGAAGCCCACCGTGATTTCGCGTAATTCTTCCCAGCTCTGCAGCAGCTCGAGGCGATGGGCACCTTCGGCCGCCTGCTGTCTCAGCTCTTGCAGTCATTGGGTTGCACCCAACATGGCGTCAAGCTGGTCAGTTCTCATGCTTTCGTTGATGATTCCGAACCCGGATATGGAACAGAGGCATGCGTTTAATGAGTTTAATGTTGCTCAATCCGATCGAGGTGGCTAATGTTGCTCGGGGTTTGCACGATTTTCCTCGTCCTCATCGGAATCAACGCCTGGCAGCTGCAGCAGTGACTTGTCGAATTCTGATAGCAGCCCTCTGGAAGCCTGATTGTGTATTCGGGGAAAGAAGCCCTTGCTTCCAAGTAGTGTACCTTCGAGAATGGTGAGGAGGTGGTTTGTGCTTGACATATTCAGGGCCAGTTCTTCGGATGCTCCGAAAGTTCATTTCGCGACCTCAGACCTGTGCCGCTGGAATACGTCTAGTGTCATATCCTGCATAGTTGCATCAGCACTCGCTCTTCTTCAAGCCCCCTGTGCTCCGCGCCCCTTTGCAGAGGATCTTCGGCGTCCAGTGGTTGTCAAAGCGTAACGTGATCCTTGTGGCGGCTGCTCTGGAGCTCATCCCGTGCTACTGAGTCGAACCAGGGTAAATAGAAGGATCGCGCTTTGCCTTGAGCATTAACGATGTGCAGTTGGTCAACCATCCATGCTATCTCAGCTATGCAAGCTCGCCTTCGGCTCCGCTCGTGTAATCTCGTGCAAGAGTGAGGCCTGCTTACGGGCTGATTGTCGGAGTCGTACCGCTTGGCACCCTCCTACTATCCGCGGATGGGTGCTGCACGTTTGCTGAATGCAGGGCTCTTGCCCACAAGGCTTCTTCATGGCCACCGTCAAGGAGACCTTCTTCCTAACAGCGCTGGGCGCCCTTTGCTCGGCGATCTGCGCTGTGGCTTGGCACTTTCTGCAGGGTTGTGGCGGATAGCACGATATGGGATCAGGCAGACACATGTTTACGTTCCCGATCTATTTCCGGTTGCTCCAAACATGATAGGACACCGCAACACCCCGTTCGCCGAAAGCTTCTCAGCCGGACCCACTGAGCCCTTCCGTCCAGGAATGCCAGAGGAATGTTTGAGGAATGCCTCTGTCAATCTGACAGAGGTCTTGTAGAGGTCTCGTGCGGTGCAACAGCGCACAGGACTGTTAAACATGTGCGCGAATCATACTTGGGGGACAAAGCGCTGTTGAATTGTGCGGGCCGCCCAGTAGGCCTAACATTTAGCCAGTTCGTTGACTTGTCCTGTTTGGTGCTGGCAAGTGCGACCCCGGGGGTTCGGCACTTTTGCAAGGTGAACGGGCCGAGTCGCGAGTTCTCATTTTGATCCAAACACTACAATGGCACAGGTGGAACAGTGTATCCATAAGCATATGCAGTCCTGTAAATATTTCACATATGCATAGTCATAACTCAGGAAACCCGGGTAAGCCAGGTAACCCTCAAGCTTCTCAGATTGTCCAGACTGCAGATGGTTTTTGCCCACAAGGTTGTGGTGGTGGTTGCGGCCTTCACTACTGACAGCTCCAAAATGGCAGGGCGTCACGGCCACAATGAATTCTGGTACGCTTAGTTGGGACCACGTGCATGGAGCTACGAGCCTTTCCTTTGATCCTAATCTTAGATTTGGCATATCAGTTGTCACATCACCCGTCCTGCAAGTGAGGGCTTTAGGAATTTTGAGTGCACAGAGGCCCAGAAGCTTTCAGTGTCAGGACTGCTTGTTGTTGTCCAGAAGGAACCTGAAGGGTCCATATGGATGTCCATGAACGGACAAACCGACAAGCTTCAGCAGATCACACCCCCTTGAGGTGTTTGGACGGGCAAGCGAACAGCTGGCCATGGTTTGCAGACTTCCAAGGGCTCTGCCTTTGCTGGAACACCGTGGTATTTGCCTTCGGAGGCCAGTCTGTAGAATGTTGCAGGCTGTTGTGAGCACCGGGGTATTGGTCTCCGGTGTCCTTCTTGGCTGCACTTGGCAGTCAGGCTAGTGAACAGTCGAGGAATTGGGGTGAGTTCAGGTACAGGTCAGTACACAATGCTGTCGACCGCCCCTCTGCCCGGTTGGTGCTCTGGGCTTGGGGATCAAGGCGGGAGACCCGATGGTCGCCGAGTGACCGGACGACATCCCTGATGTTCTCCATGTCAAGCGTGGCAAGGAGATCAGTCCAGATCCCTTTAGGTATTTGTATTACTTTTTTGGCGATGCTAACTCGATGTTCACCCAAGCGGTTTTTGCGGCCATGTGTGAAAACTTCTCCCAGTACACAAGACCCGCACCCTAACCCTCCAATGTTGACTTCGCATTGATAACCCTCCTTTTGATCGGGTCAATCTTTCTGCCGGGGGCCGAAATTTCCAGTTGTAGAAGGGTTGGGTTTTGAAGGGGCTGTGATCTTGTTTGGAGGGGGCCTGCTTCAAAGGGCTGGCCGCTTCCGGAAAGGAACCCTGCAACCCATTGCAACCCTCAATAACCCCAAACCTTTGCAAAAACCCTAAACTATCTGCGCCATTTGGTCATTCCGTAGCAGCTTTCTGCGATCAGCTGTCAGGCAGAATCGCAAAATCGCGCGACTGATGCTTAGAATAATTCGTGCTCAATGCCCAAAGCCGCAGAGGCATCAACGTTCTTCCAAGTCTTCTGGCGGACTTCCACACTCGCGGGGTGCTGGCACGAGTGCCGTGTCAGCTTCGGCAAGGGCATTTAGAGGGGATCACAAACTTCGGGTTCAACGAAAGCTGTCCTTAGCATCCATAACTTTTCTGCGACATAGTTGAGACTCTCGATGACTGTTGGAAAGGAACCCTTCACCCCAGACCCGGCACGCCGAACTTGGGCAGGTCTGGTGTTCAAGAGCCGGAATCTGTTCAGACGCATCCGCACTGGAGCATTTGAATGTCTCACTTACTTCATTGCCGGGAGATTCCAGCTTCTTAGAGTTTCTGAGTTTCGTTATACCGAGGCGCTGGTGAGTTTCACTTGGCGTTCCTACTTTTTCATCATTTTGGTCGCTTGGTGGTTCACTTATGGGATTCGCTTGAAGTTGCTTCTTCGCTGAAGCCTTTGCGCAGCTGGACAACCAAGGTCTATGTAGCCGTAGCAGCAGCTGGCTTTGCAGTGGGCGGCACTGCCATGGCAAGCAAAAAGGCGGGTTGGCTAAGATGTCTTTGAGATGAGAGCTGAGCCTCTTTTGTTGGTGATTGCAGGCTTTGACGTTAGAAGTGTGTGGCTCCCGTATATCATTGTCCGTCATAATGTCTCGTGATGGAATCGCCTGTGTCGAAACCATTTGCTCCATCCACTCAAATCCAGGATCTGCCTGCATCTCAAAGCCCAGCCCCCGTGTTCCAGAAGGGTGCCGCCTAAGAGGTAACAGCACCAACACTGTAAGCCATGCCCGAAACTGGGCAAGGTGGACTCGAATGTGCTCATTGGTCTCTCCGGCTGCCCGGATGGCGAGGCAGAGACAGCTAGCAGTCGTGGCCCTTGCAGTCCACACCTGTCTGCGTTTGTCCGTTGTCATGCTTGCATTGCAGCTTACTTGGCAAAACCGACCCCTCTTTTGATTTTGTGATGGTTTGCGAGCTCGGAGAGTGTGCTATGTTGAAGCCGAACCCTGTTGTCAAGTTAAAGGCTCCTGCAATGAGGACAGGGATGTTTTGTTTGTCTTGGGGCTCCGCCTCAGTAGTAGTTCTCCAGTGTCACTAGGAGCATCTCGGGGACATCTTAGTTGAAGGGGCCGTGGCCGGTTGGCTTCATACATTGTGGCACATGCTGTCCAGAAAGCAACAAATCAGGATCCCAGCGTCGTATCGACTGCACATGCATCTCACACGAACATGTTTTTGGTTTACGAATCGGGCCAGGGGAAGTCCATAAGCTGGAGCTTGGTGGTGGCGTACAGCGTGATCACTCTCCATGCACCTTGACAGTGATAGCAGTGCACTATTGGTGTTGATCGATGTCCAGTTTTGTCCTAGCCTGCTGTTCGGTTTGTATTCAGGTCTTGCTGGCTTACCCTGTGCCCTTCCATTCCATCGCAGAGACGATGGAGGTCACACTGCCGACAGCCGATTGGGTTAAGGGTCTAGACGTGAGGAAGACCTGAACAGCTAGCCAAGACTAATGAGAAGAAGCATATCGCAGCTTCGTCCACAGCATTGGCCTGGCAGTTGGAATTGTGGAGGTTTCGTTCTGGTGGAATGGGAAGGGCAGCAGGTGGATGAAAGGTGAACAGACCTTTGCACCGTTGCCAAATCCGGGGCGCTGGAAGAGAGTTTCGATGAGTTACGAGTTGCAGAGAGCTGCACAATGTTTCTTGCATGCTTGGGTCTTCCCTTCCCAAACCACAAGTTTCCGGCCAGAACCTTTCATGTCTTCACAAAAACAGAGCCATTCCGAGGGTTCATCCACCTTGCTGCAGTGCTGATAACACGCAAGGTCCAGTCTGCGGCAACGGGGTGGCCTGCTACTCCTGATCTTAAAAAACATCCTGCACTCGTGCCCTACCTTTCGACCCCAATCTCGAGCCGGAAACGATCTTTGCGTCTGCGCGTAAGTATTCCCAAGGATTCGGGGCTAACCAGACACCCTGTCAGCCCTGTCAGGCAACTCTGGGCACGCGCGACGGGGCGCTGAAGCCCGGGCTTCGGGGCTTGGCCATGCGCACACCTCGCCTGTTGTCCCGCGGCCATCAAAGTTGCTCAGGTTTTCTTTGAGAGTTCAGCGGCTGTTGGGTTTAGGACCTGGAAGGGCATATCACTGCGTGTCAAGACTTCAGTTTCGTTTGGATGCAGCTTGGTGCCAGCTCCTAGCTTCTAGCGGGTTCTAGCGTCTTGAAGCCCATCCTGAACGCATGTGGGCAGATCGCCCACGAGGTGAAGATCTGTACGCGTGAGCTGAGGTTTCTGGGGCTGTGCACCCTTTTGGCTTACACATTGCCATTCTTCGGTGCCTTGTTGGATGTGGTCGCAGCCGTCGCTGGTCAGGCCCAGTTCCGTCATTGGTCAGCCTCAGAAACCCCAGGCTCCAGATTGCCCCTAGCCACCAGCAAACCCCATGCCAATTTACGGCAAGATCATAGCACGCTTCCGGTTTCAGCTTGGGGAGGTTTGCCAGCCCACGCAGGGAAAGAGCCCTTTCAAGCCTTTCCGAGCAGCTCGCACCTCGCCCTGCCCGACTCCTTGCGTAAGCTCCTGGCTTGGCATCACAACCCCCAACCGCCCCCAGAAAAGCCCAAAGCGAAATCAAACTACCAAAGCTCGTCAGAGGGCACGGTGTTCATCCTCCCCGTGCTGTTCTCCGTGGCGATCCAGTGGCAGCAAGGGCTGCCAGTTCGCTGCTACGAGACTCAGCCTCATTTGAATTCTTTACATGGTTGTGAACAGGTCGTTGAGGTCGAATGAGCCAATCAGCTCACGTTTCTTTTGCCATTGTTACTGCCGGCGTACGCATGGTGGCCGCTTACCGCTAGTTTGCGGACGGCTATTGCGGTGAGCCAAGCCAACAAGGTGTAGTAAACCCCACTGCCGAATTAGACACTCTCGCTCGCTCGCTCGCTCGCTCGATCTCTCTCTCTCTCACTCGCTCTCTCTCTCTCTCTCTCGCTCTCTCTCGCTCTCTCTGTCTCTCTCTCTCGCGCTCTCTCTCGCTCTCTCTCGCGCTCTCTCTCTCTCTCTGTCTCTCTCTCTTGTGGATATGGTGGCCAACTTCACCGACGGCAAGTCATGTAAACTGAAGGCCAGGCTAAGACCCTGAGTTGCCGCTCTTTGCTGCTACAGGAGTGGATCCTCAGTGCAATTTGCCTACTGGTCGGGGTGCTCGGAGCGATCACCGGCCTCTATTACGGCATTCAAGAACTGGCATCCGCTTTGAAGTGATGGGCTTTGCTTTGCCCACAGGAGCCAGAGGGCCTTGTTCATATGCGGCTGCGGCTAGCTTTTGAGAGGCTGCAGCTGACAAGAAGCTAGGCAGTGCAATGCGTCGTACAATGTCGTACGGGCCTGTTCTTAGAATTCGGCCCCTCACAGCAGCTCGCGCTTCACTTGGGGGCGTGGTGCTGCCCATCCTCTGCATGAGATCGTTGGTCTCGAGGCAGATTGCTGCCCATGCCTGAGGCATGCAGTATCAATTAAACGTTAGTTAGGGTGCCACACGGTGCGCCGCCTTGACCAAAGCTCCGTTTGCCAGGATACTGTCGGTATGTCGGAGGCAGCAGGATCAGGCTTGAAGGTTGGGGATCCACGGGTTCATTCGTGGATTTGGGGGTGGAGGGAGTGGAGGGGTGGGTGGGGGGAGGTCGAGTTCAGTTTGAGTGAACAACACGCATCCGTCCCAAAGCCATCCCTAAGCCTTCAACCTGCTGCGATTGGGCTCGACAATGGCTCTGTAGAGCACTTGTTGCCTCAGCCATGGCGGATGAAGCAGCACTTTGCCTTGCAATTGAAGTTGTGTTGTCAGGGGTAGGGGCTGTTAGCAGAGTGTCGCCTTCCCAGGCCGCAGCTTTACAGACTTTACCGTTTTGAATAGGAGGTTTGCGTTGCAGGACTGGTAAGGCTCCCAGAATCCCACAGCCAAATTTCCGTGTTGAAAACCGAGGAATATGAAGTTTGGGTCGAGGATCATCCGCAGTGAGTCCTTTGGGGTGATGCTTAGGAGTGCTTTTCGAAACACTGCATCGATCGGAACCCTTTACTCAAACCGCAAGAGCTAACACAAGCACTCTAGTGACCTGGCCCATGCACAATCAATACATATATACAAAGTCAATGCAAAAGAGGTGAGAACAACAATCCGGCAAGTATACAGCCGCATTGTAAGCCTTGCCTGCTACCTCCGCTCAGATCCCAGATGCTCCCGTCGATGCGGAGGAGGACCTGAGCTGGTGAGCTGCGATAGTTAAACGCAAAAAGCGGGGCACAAAAACGGTTCAGCACCAAGATCAAAGCCTTGAAATCGGCACATGTGTTTTCTATTCCCCCTCCCAAGCACTTCCGACCGAACCTTGCCGAACCTGGACCTTTGACGCCGCGGGCCACAGCGGCATCCGATCTGCGCACCTTAGCAGTGGCTCGCATGGGCCTTTGACGCGAAGTGTTGTCTCCGCAGGACGGCGGGGGCTTGGGCCTCAGCGAGATGGAAAGGCTACAGGCCTGTCTACATACATAATGCTGCGCAGCTTAGTCTTTGGGACGGTCCGTGATCAGAAAAAGGGATAACCTAGCTCAGCAAATCACCCCTAAAGGCCCTTCTCAGAACCCCATGCCCCAAGGAAAGTGCCGCCAAAAGCCCGGAATTTTGCTGAGGCACAGCGCCGGCGCCGCCTGCGCCGCCCGAGCTGCCCGAGACAGGCGACGAAAGCTTTCATGAAGACTTCTAAAATTCTTCAGCAGAGCAGAGCACACAGAGCCGAGCTGTGCCTTTTCGTCATTCGCTTCGAGTTGCGGTCACGACTTTCCTTCTTAGGCGTAGCAAGTAAGGTCGCCACATGAAATCGAGAATTTGGCAACAATGTCAACATGGTGAAAATGGATTCAAGCATGGATGGCTCAGCCTTTCGACAGCTTCATATTTTCCAATTGCCACTGTATCTGTATCTGAGACTGCGAAGATGTTGCATCCTTGCATCAGCTTCTGGCACTTCGGAACAGGATCGTCTAACAAAAACCCAAGCTGTTATAACAGTCAGCCGTCAAAGAGCATGTATCCAAACTTCTTGCATTCTTTGAGCCTGCTGTGGATGGATCCAAGCAGCCAGCTGCAACCGGTTTGAACTGTCGTTTGTTTTGGCCTTCTCGAAACCAATCTCGGTCGCAGGGCTTGGTCTGGCGGATATGTGTCGCACGTACTTAACGTACGTCAAGCTCCCAGTGGTTCGCAACGAAATGTGCCGAGTTGGTTTCGGATCTTTCGCTGTGTGTTCTTTATTTCTGAATGAGCGTCCACATTGGGGTGTCATGCATTTCCGCCAAGTCCAAAGTGTTTTTGAAACTGGCAGAGTCGAGGACGATCCTGTCAGAGCAGGATTTGAAGCTTTGTCCGTGAAAGACATCGAAACTACACCACCAGTAACCAGCGCTTCCTACATAAATCTGGGAATCTGGGATCCAGTCCGCCTGACTACCGGAATTCGGAATTGGTACCCCGCCCCCCCAAAATTTCCCCCCCCCCCCCCCTCCCCCCGCAGGCCCAGTTGAAACCGCTGAAGCCGCTGAAGCCGCTGATGCTGTGCCGGCAGCTGCCGCTCCTCTGGAAGGCAGCTCCATTGGCAAGCAAATGCTCAAGCACGTGTCCAATTACTCGATTCACCATAGGGGCCTTCTGCAACGGTGCCTGCACCTGTGCTGAAGCTCGGCTTCCAAGCAGGGTAATGTGCATTTCAGCCCAGATCCGAGTACAATTTTCATTGATGACTTTGGGATTGTTCCGGCAATCCATAGGCTCCGATCCATTGGCCTGTGCTACTTGCGCAAAATAAGTGTGTACGTAGATGGAAGGGAATCGTTGATGTGCTTTCTTCCTGGCCTCCGTGACACCCGATCATGCGCGAGGCACTTCGCAGGAGCTCTCCGTGTTCTTCCAGCAACTTGGGGCGAGGGCTAGTGGCACCAAATCCCCAAGTCCTTAAAAGAGCTGGGCCGGATCGACGTGGTCAATGGCTGTCGACGACCGACAGTAGACCATAGCCCGCAGGCTGGTAGCCAATACGAGAGTGAAGATCAGCGGAATGCACGTCCAGATCATAGGATATGGTAGCTTGGCCTGGGAGTAGTGGGCCCCTTCAAATGAGGAGTTGAGGTGGGCCACAAGTTTTACGTGATCCACCGTGCCAAACTCATCTGTTCAGAATCTTCCTTCTCCCTTGTTTCAAAACGTTAGTGCCATTGCAATCCTGGATAACACTCATGCCAATACTTCCAGGAACCGTAAACTGGGTTGCTGCGCTACTGCTGCTAGGATTGTGCTCCTTTCCTTTCTGCAGGAAGCAGCACCCGCAGAAGCTGCACCAGCGGCCGCAGAGGCCATTTGCATTGCATGCGTGTCTTGATAGGGCATCTGGTGGCGCTGGTGTGGGGTTTTGGTGTGCTCGTCCAAGTCACTATGTGTGACGTTCCAGTTCTGACAGATGGCGAGTGGAAAGTCTGCTGAAAGGCCAAACTGTCTCTACTGTCTGCTGTGTAAGTCTGAGGCTGGGGCTGTCCAGTCTGACTCTTCATTTGGTGCTGGATAATTACTCGAGAATACTCAATCACGTTCGTCTCCTATGCTCCGCCGCCTCGAGGTTGTTTGGGACAGCCTCAGAAACCCGGTGCCCTAAAGAATCCTATAGCCACAAGGCCATGCCCTTAGCGAACCTAGCAACCTTTGCCTACATGTCCGCAAGCTGCCCAGGGCCCTGGCGAGGCTGCGATAGACCTCGTCATTCTGCCGGAGGCAGCGAGCGATTGTGAGAGCACACGCCAGACAGGACACTCTGCAGATCCTCTCAAAGCACTAAGCCCCTGTCCTGGAAGCACAGCCGGCTGAGTGCATTACTCGGCATCCCCCAGCGGTACCCTGCAGTCAATTGGGAGCGTCGCAGCTTTTGTATGGTTTTGTGTATTCTTTCGTGTGCTTAAACCTGCTGGCTGGACAACAGGGCTACGGCCAGACCAAGCAGATTGACATCGACCGCCTCGTGGGAAAGATCCGCAGCGAATTGGAGGCGGAGTGCGGATGCCCAGGAAGACGGAAGCCGGCTTGTTGAGACTTGAGACAGGCTTACTGCTTAAGGGTTTTTTAGGCAGACGCGACGTTGATGTGCAAGGTCCTGTGAGACTTGCTTTAATTAATTAAGTCATGGAATCAAGAACCTGTGCTTGTCCACTGCTCACTTTTCAGCTGCAGTGATATAGCGTGCTGTGCTCGGCAAGTCGCCTTTGGACAAAATGTCACGGTGTCGGTTCAATGTCGCTTCGCTGTACAAGAAAGACCCAGCTGTCTCAGTTTACAAATCTGTAGCAAGGAAGCCTCGTAATGCTGACTCACGATATCTTCAATGCCACTTTTGCCAAACGATCGTAGGTGCTGTAGCATCCAAAAGAATCTCAGTACTCAGAACGGCCTCACAATGCGCAGCGGGGTCTAGTTCCATCGAGGTCCGCATAGAAATTCAGAGCCCGAAGATGTCAGAGAACGTGATTAGGAAGCACAGAAGCGCCTGAACCTTCAAGCGCTGAAGCTTTCCAAGGTTGAGCATTCCGGATAAGTCTTTGTATCTGATGAACTTGTCTGGCGCGGTCGAGGTGCGGTACCAATGGCTTAAGGGGTTTGAGGGCCTGGGCTTGGCGATTTTGGTGTTGGGTGGCTGTAGGTCAAGGGTAGCGCCCATTGCAACATCAGTTCCTTCTTGTTTGAAGGCTTGGGTGTTGGGGTGTTTGGTGCGTAATTATGGCAAACACGAGCAGGCCGCAAGGCGTGCAGGAAGCTCTTCAACTTCTTACTTTTTCATTCTTCCGCCATTTTGGGGGAAGACCAGAACCTCGATTGCACGACACCTCACTGACTCAAGCAAAGGCCTGACGCATTCTGACAGCGTTGGGCCTAAACCAACCAAATTCACGGACCGCGCACCTCAAGTGCGAGCGCTGTGGGCGTTTGGAGAATTAGAGTTGAGGGCAGGCTCTAAGCAAAATGCTCCATATCACTAGTTGGCAATTTTATCAATTTGGATAATTTGGTTGTACTGTTATGTCACTAGTTGATTGATTGCTTGTTTTCAGACTGGTCCCTTAGATTTTAATGTTTTTTCGAAGGTACCTCGCAGGGGTTTCTCTAGGTGGATCTGATTGCAACTTTTTGCACCCGTGCCCTAGGAAAGGCCGAGGAACCCCGCTCCTGAACATGTCCACTCTCCAGGGGCTGGGGCGAACTTTTTCGAAAAACTTTCGATGCCTGCCAGTCCTGATGTTGAAGAGTCGGTGCTTAAAGAACCAGACCTTCTCGCAGCTTCTGCGGCAGTTCAAGCAAGTCCTTCCGGATGACAAGACTCTCCGTGACCTGGGCCTCAAACCCGGCGACCGGGCGGTACCCTCAGACTGCCTCCAGCCTCGAGCCATCGGGTTAAACATTCGATTTCCCGGTACCGCGTCGGGGTTGCAGTGCCGTCAGGATTCTCCATAGACACGTAGTCAAATGTTGCGGTTGTGCAGCTCCCGCTTTCGAATGCAGTCGAATCTTTTGAGGCCGGCATCGAACTCCGCATCAACTACTACCAAGAGCAGCCTGCTGAGGACCACCCTTGGGGCTGAACGGAGATCCCTTTCAAGGCCGTGGATAAGGCAGATGAAAGCTCCTTAAACCAGCTGAGGAGCCAGCTGAGTACTGTAGTTGTCTGCGAGGAATACGTCATGCCGGACATGCTTGACCTCAAGGTTATGAACGAGCACGGCGAGGTGCGCTTCGCTGCTGTCGAATGTGAGGGCGAGGGGGCGAAGGGGCGAAGGGGTGCACAGCAAAGTCTTCGGAAGTGCTGTGGAGCTGAGATGTCCAGGCCTAGTGCGTCCTTTAGCTGAGCCGAGGAATTCCGAAGTATCAGGGCAGCAGTTTCTGCACGGTCATTTCCAGGTTTGTCCGAAGTAAATCCCGGCGTGTTGGAGGGGTCGAGGAGTCGAGGAGTGGAGGAGTCCAGTACTGGACCAGCTGCGACAACAGGGATGGGCACGTGCGGCCTTCGAAGAATCTGAGATGGTGGCTCGAGTTTCCTGGCCGAACTCGGATCCCAGCACACTCATCACAACATGTCACAACAGATGTCCGCGTCCCTTTTCATTTTCCATCGTCACAGCCGAAGCACTGTGCCGTTTTTGCATGTTTCTGCCAGTCGCGCCAGGAGCGGATGGTCACCGTTCACGTGCAGAGGCCCGTCATGGAAAAGCCAGAGGCCAAGGAGCTGAAGCCCCGAGACTGTCCTTGTTTCCTGGACTGCCCCCAAGTCGTGCTCAAAGTTGGGTTGACCTCGGGCATCTCCTTCTGTTGGTGCCACAAGAGCTGCGGACGATCGAGGCCATACTTGGGTGGTTTCCGGAACAAAGTGACGGACTCCATGTCTGAAGCCAAGATGGGCGTGGGGATCGTTGAAGACACCAACCCCCAACTCCTCCCGTCTCACAAAAATCAAGTACGTCCAAGGCTGCTGAGGCCTCAAGCTTCAACCATGAAGCTTAGAGTTGCTTTTTTTGACAGGCAGACAGAGAGAGCGCGAGAGAGAGAGAGCGAGAGAGAGAGAGACAGACTGGCGAGACGAATCGAGGTTACGGGGATGCTTCACGGACTGGATTTCTCGGGGGAAGTTTCACAGTGAGACGGGAGCGCTTCGCGCGCGGGGGGTGTTTCGGGCTCCTCATGCCCAGCAGAAGAAGCGAACGTGAAGGGGGGGGGATGATGAAGCTTTCGTGTCTCGGGCTAGTCGAAATCCCCTGGTCAGTGATGAGTTTGCTACGCAGCAAGTTGCTCGACTATATGGCTGTATGGGAGGGTGGGAAACTGCAGTACTAGCAAAATCAGCTTCTCAAAACAAACGGCCAGGTTTGTGGGATGGTCGTTTGCTAATTCAACCTCCGTGCCGCTCGCCTTCCTGCCTCCCCTGCTTCCTTCCCCCTTCCATTCCTAATTAGTACAAGCAACAAGCAAAGCCTCGAAACTAGCTTGCAACTTATGCTCTCAAGTGACTCTTCTCTGGCTCGACATATGCAAGCATGCGCAAAAATGTGCGGACATTGCCTGCTTTTTTTTGGCTTCCAGGTGCAGGTAGGTGCAGGTCTTTCGGCACAATCAGTGTTTCTGCAAACTCTAATTTGTCAGATTTCGGCAATTTTCAGAGTGTTTCCGGGAACCAGACTATTGGATGCTTCATGGTGGCTTGTTGAGATGCGGGCCAACCCCGGAATGCCCGGAAATTCGAAAAAGGCACCAAAAGGTGAGGTCCTGAATGAAGCTGTGGTGTTTTATAGGAGACATCAGGATGCTTCGTTAGATCAGGAACAGTGGCAAAGCGTATTCCCACCTGTGTTTTGGGCCTGTGAGCAAAGCTGTGCCAGGTACCATCACGCAGTGACTCAGACAGCCCCTGTACAGAAGAAGGACGTTCACACGCTTCGCTTTCATCGCGAGGCCGAGTCGAGTGCGGGGATAGAGAGAGTCAAAGAGACACAGCTGAGGTGGGGGCCCGAGCACTGTGATTTTGTTCGTCAGGCGCAGACCTACGAATACCGGACTCGATCAACGCAGTGCAAGCGTGACAATGGCACTCAGATGGACAAGGCGGCTTCAATGAACTGCTCACGTTCACTTTCCAACCGAGAGTCGTGAGTGTAAACGCTGTAAGCCCACGTGGTCCATGTGTCTAGCATATTCCCAGGAGAATTTCATTGCGATAAATGCAACGGCTCCTGTTCAGGTGGGCCTTTATATCGACAGCCGCACTGACAAGATGATGGAGCCTCGAAGGCCCTACTTCAGCAGTGCGGACAAGGCCCATGGATGTGATGTCCAATGATGGTAAGGGGTTTCTTCGGGAGTCTCTGACTGTTGGTGGGGGTATTTATTTGAATGTGTTTGAAGAGTTTTTCCGGTCTATCTTAGAGGAGGACCTTGTCAGGGTAGTCGTCGAGTCGTTGGCCTGCATGGGGTTTGGGTGCATGGAGAGAGTCAATAAGGTGACCAGGTGGTGCAGTCTACTTGGAGTTGGTGCCCTTCAGCGTGAAGTGCGCAAGACAAGTATTCATGAGATCTCAACTCCCACTTGGTCGGCAGGCAGCGCTCTTGCTCGAGAAGTCGCTCGATGGCAACCATGGTCCAACTCAAGTATGCTAGCTTCGTCAGGGTTCATCTTCGGGGCTCATGCCACCGATCCGCTAGCCCATGAAGCCGCAGCACACCTCAAGCACACGGCGCGCATGCACAGCGGCTTGCATTGCACCATCTTGCACCATCTTGCAACATCTTGCATCTTGCCATGTTGATCACTGTGAGCAGCTCTCGTTCTGCCGAGGTGCGTCATGATCCAGTGTCATGCCAGAGGCATGCTGGCTAGAAGGCCATGTTGGTTGGGAGATGTTTGGGTAGTTCAATGCAACGGTTGGGGCAGCATCCAGTGCTGACCTGCACAGGCCTGTGTTTGAGAGTCGTGTCTTGGTTGGACCCATGGCTAGACGTTTATGAGGCCCGCTAAGAATGAGGAGGAAAGCAATGAGCAAGATCGGACATGATCGGAACACTTGGAGATTGGGGAGGTTCGGGATTGGCGCTACTTCGCTTTCTGTGTGGAGCCTCCTTGACCCACGATGCACGACACACGCGAACCACTCATCATGTGTAAAGCCTGAGGCCATGATGAGTCTGAATTGTCTACATGACCTCAGTCGTATTTCATGTGAACCTGCTTCAAAGATTTTGAGGGCGTTACACTAGCTAGTTTAAGGAACTACTCCGAACACATCTCCAGGCGCACCCGGCAGCTCCGGCAGATGCGCCAGGAGCCGGCTTTTGTTTCGTGCTCAGAGCATGATTTCACGCGCCTCGGATCAGGGTGAAGGGTTTTACCATGTGTTACCAAAAAGCAATGGGCAGGGCGTCAGGTTTTCAAGGCCAGCTTCATATCGAGGCTTGCCGAATATTTTGAAGCTGAACCCCTTCCAATTTCTCGGACAGGAGCGTCAGGAGCTGGCGCGGAAGGAGGCAGAGAGGCGGCAGCTAGAGGCCTGCTGTAGTGAATCGTGCGAGAGTTTGCATGTGAGCTGGTAGTGTATGCTCAAGTCAAGCTTCGATGGCGTTCTAGTTCTAGCATGTTGTAGTTGGCGGGTCTGCTTGCCATCTATTCAGCCTCTTTTTGCTCTACATGCACGGAGTATTTTAAGCGCCTCGAGAACTGACTAAGTCTATTGCGAGAGCATATAAGTTGTGCAGGATGCGTGCGGTCCTCGGGCACCAAGCTACATCTTGCAAGAATCTCCCCCCAGCTGTTCCAAACCCAAAGGCAACCCGAATCCTGTGCCTTCATCTTTTGCACAATTTCCTGGGTTTGAGGCCGACCTCCGACACAAAAGGGAGGTCGAGCGCCGAATGCACCCGCGGACCTTCGAGGAGTGAGCTCGTCCTTTGCAGAGAGGGAGAGAGAGAGAGAGAGAGAGAGAGAGAGCGAGAGCCCTGGACTAGCTTGAATTTGGTTTGGATACGTGAGCGACATGTGCATGGGTGGGCAGCCTCGTTGACCCACTACATGATTTGTCAAAACAGAGGGGCCTTGAAGAGTGGGCGAACAAAGAGGCTTTCCGGACTCCAAAGAGTGCAAAATTGCTGCGAAGTCCTGTAGCGAGGCTCCTTGATGTGTGCAACGATGCTCCGTGAGCATCACTGGAATGCACCTGTTTGTGTGTGCGGCACCCTTATTGCCAAGGGAGCTTTCAGGATCCTGTTTGCTTTTGGCACTTTGTGAGCTGAGTGCTTTAACGCTATCCATTTTCAGGTGGAGCGGCACATGTCCGAATGAGCTTCTACCAGTGCAATAGAACCTGTCAGGATCGCGGTATACACTGTACACACGAGGAAGCAGCAACCAATGGAGATCTTCCAGATCATCTTCGAGACAAGAGTTTATACCCAACATGAATGTTTCTTTTTCAAGCGGCAGAGGGCACGCCATCGATTGCTGAGGGATTGACTGGTTAAGCGAGGTCGTGCCACGGTTGTGCAATCACTCAAAGTCCTAAACGAACATGCGAAAGGCAGCGGCAATCTGTTGTGCAGGACTTTAGCGTGCTGTACAAGGAGCTGGAGGTGCGTCGGTGTGGACAGTGTGGACCTTGTCTGACTACACTGGCCTATGGGCCCATGGGTCGTCGAATGAAGTTCTATCTGAAATCGTCTCAACCTCAAGCCTTCCACCAGGCGTGGCGAGTGAATGAAGCAGCGCGAATCCAGAACTCGGGGTTCGACGAGGTGCAGAGCTTGAAGGGCCAAAGATGGCCAAAGCATCTCCGTGATCATACGATCTCATTTGCAGCAGACCGCGCAGTCGTTGCGATTGTTAGGCTATTGAATGCGGGTTGGAGGCATCCCTACACGCAGCAAGCAAGGCTTTCGATTATTGCATGTTCAGGCGACTCGTCGAGCTGCACAGCACGAGCTCCTCCGCAAGGACAGCTGATCGCACACTTTCTGAAGGCCACATGGGCCACGGATCACCAACCACAAGCGAAGACATCCATGAACATCGTGTTTATTGCTGGCCATTGTGCATCACAGTCGAAAGCCTGACGTAAACACGGTAACTGTACGCATGAAGTTCGCCGAGCGGGCGTGCCTGGGACGTTCGGTGTTCCTTTGCTTGAGATCATAGGGCAGCAACAGAGGAGTCGGGGCCAATGAGTTTTTTTTTCTTCTGGACACCAGAGAGCGCCTAGAGGAGTTTGGGTGGGGGGTAGAGGGTAGGTAAGGGGTGGGGGCGGGGCATCCTTCCCAGCCTGGTGTTTAGACAGCCAGCCGAGGGAGGTTAGCCGCTAGCCGTTCTCCGCCTCGCCTATTTACAAAAGACAGGCGTAAGCCGATGTGGACTCGTTGAACTTGGCATGTTGATTTCCTTCACCAGCATACTGGGCTTCTTTTTCTAGCAGGAGACGAAGCTCCTGCAAACAATTGACAAGCTGAAGATCCAGGCGCCTGACCCGCACCCCTCCCACGTGTGACAGCACACAACATAACCCAGCTCTCTGAAATTCTCTGAAGCTCTCTGCCTTGCTTGTACTTCCTTGCACTTGTTCCCAAGGCGCACACCTCAAACCGCGATGCCAAGATCAAGAGCAAGCTCGAGTCCATCTCTTGGCATTGCGGGCGAGTTAATGTTGAGAGCGTGGTGCCACGGGAGCCATTCCTTACAGAAGCTCAAACCCCACAGCTTGGCATGCAGTGCAGACCGGATGGGAATCTCTTTCGATTCAGAAGCTACACTGCATGCCGATCCCGGAGTCTCATCTTGCCAACCACTTGCTAGGAAGTTTTGTGTGCTTGATGGCGACCAGACGTCTAGAGTTTTATGAATCTTGAAGAATCATGAAGCGCATAATGTGCATCATGAGAACATCTGGGATCAGGCGGCGCACCCTCCTTACGTGCTACTAGCCGCCAGCCGCTAGTGGCTAGCGTGTCAAGAGGAAGCAGACCCCAGCTTAAGAAGGTCAACTCTTGTATCTGCCCACGGAGTTTGTAGGGCATGCCTTGCAAGATTATGCGCGCAATGTCGTTCTTATGAACCCCGGATGATTGCGAACAGTTTCCTACAGCGTCAGCGCAAGCCCGGCGTTGTGAGTTTTGAGCTGTCACACATTGAGAACAGTGTCTACATTTGGTTTTAGCATGGTTTGGTATGCAATTCCAGTTGTAGCTGCCAATGTGCAGTGCTGGACTCAACCTTGAATGGGAACCCCTGCCTAACGCACTAGCTGCTGACGGCAGACATGATGCATACGCCACTGCGGCCTGTGACCTCAAGCTAAGGTCGATGTCACAGCCGAAGGTTTGGGCGCAGGGGGATGGTGAGACCACCACCGTCCACACGCCTTTCACCACCAGAGCCAAGGAGGGGTTGAATGCGCAGATCTTTGAACTCCAATCTGGTGATCCCCGTCGGACTCCTTGTGGCTCCTGTTCGTAGTGGTCCATCCTCTCCAAAGGTGATTTGCCCAAAACAAGAGCCCCAGACCCTGAGCCCCGCGCCGCACACTAAGCAAAGTCTTTCCCCGGAGCTGAGATCCCAAGGCTCTCAGGAAGTTTGGGAAAGGCGGCCACTGATGGCAAAGAGCCAGGGCCTAGCACATCCAAGGTGGTACATGTCTTCGCGCCCCCCGGAGAGAAGGCTTCAGCAAAAGCCCAAGCCTCGAAGCCCGAACCCGGCCAGCGTGGCCTGACAGAAGTCCATCACGGAGTTTAAGGTGCCTGGATCACTGACCGTTGATAGCAGGTTTCGAAAAATTGCAGGAGCTCATGGACCTGTACAGCGGCCTGCGGCTCCCTTTGCTGACGGTCGATGAGCGCCGGGCATCTCAGTCTTCACATCGGTGCATCCGAGCTTTCGATGTGCAAAACCTTCTGTTCCCACACACGGCTTCCTTTGCGAAACAGGCTATGGAGTAACTAGCGAGCATGTCTCGGCCGGTGTCCGTTCGTGTCTGCATGCTTAGCAGTGCGCACGCAGGATCTACCGATTGGGCACTGCATCTGTTCTCAAGACTGCAAGCTTAAGCACGTACTGCATCCACACATCACCCAAGAAATTTGCTTGATGACGAGCCGCATTGTTTAGGCCTGGACGTGCTGTTGCACGTCAAGTGGACGGTGGCGGGCTTAATGGCTTAGTGCCGGTTAGTGCTTCCCCAGGTTTTCCGGGAAGCTCTAAACCCCAAATCCTTCTGTTCCAGTTGGAGACTGGAGTAGGTGCGAGGCTGATCGGTATCGTGGTTCCATGCAACCCTGTACCTCCTCGAAACCAGCCCGTTAGCGTGCACCTACCACACACACAGCCGTAATTCGTGTTCACCAGTAGCCCGAGCTGCCCAAGCTAGCACGTTGCCGATCAAGGTCAAGGAGTTTGACTGCAACTTGACGCGTGAGATGGTTGACCTAATCGACCGAGAAGCTTGGCTGCACGGGAACATCTCTCATAGCCATGCAGTGGAGGGGGTGGCAAACGCTCGGACAGGCCCGGACCTTCCTCCAAGTGTTCGGGTAGCCCGTGGTGCAAGCATAGTCAGGGATGGAAGTCTGCTCGCACGTTTAGAGTTTGCCGTTGACAGGTTTCTCTTCCTGTGCCAAGCTGAGATTCTACCAACCACCTTCTTGACCTCAATGAGGAACCTACCATAAGATTCATACCCCCTGCCTGGTCGGTCGTGGTCGTGGACAGGTTGGCGTCATATGCATTATGCGTCCTCCGAAGCTGGAGGGAGAAGCCTTTAGAAGCAAAGCATGCAACCAAAAGACTGGTGGGAAACTCGTACGGAGATTCTGAACCATGAGTTGCTGTTCCACCAGAAGTGCAACAGTCCAGCAGAGGAAGCCGACATGCTCAACAGGGGTCGTCCCGAGAAGTCCTTCGTAGGCCCATGACCGCTCACTTTTCGGCTTTGGGCTTTGGATTTGAGGGTTACTCGCGGGGCTTAGGAGAGACATCTCGATGTGGTTCAAAGCTTGGGCCTTCGGGATTGGGCTTGGTTGTGACGTGGGATGATATATTGATGATGCGAACAGGATGCTAGTTTTCGCAAGCTAATGTTATGTGGCTTCACGAGGTGTGTTGGTTCGCCGCGTCTTGGGTGTTGACTGTGGTTCCTGGGACCGTTGATGATATGCTTCTGCTTTTGGAAGTGGTAGCAGGGGGTCTACGGCACAGGCGTGGTCAACTCAAGCGTTTGGGCACACCTGGAAGCCACGGAGTCTCAACGTTTAAAACAATCACGCCGTCCCGGCAGTATACGAGGTCTTGAAAGAGCACAGTAAATTAGTCCAGTCCTGAAGTTCCAAACCTTATTCCTCTTCGTAACCTTTGTAGCCTGCAGCTTGTTTTGGCATGTCCTTGCAAGAGGCCTTCGCAAGCGACTCGCAAATCTGTTCCTGCAGCATCTCGGCCGGCTCTGGGGGCATCTATGCCGTGCTGCACCCTAAACCCTCGATGCTGGCCCGAGACGCAAATGAATTCTCAATAATACTGGTATGCTAAGAATTAACCCGCAGGGCCACGGGCCCCCATTTCCAGCCCATGTTAACTTCCACGTTCGGTGGGGCAACTCAATGGCGGTCTGTTTGTCAGATGCGGAGCACATTGTCAGAAAACCTGAGGCCTATTCTTGTTCTGCTGGAAAGAGGATCCAGATCCGAGGTTTGGGGGTTTGGGGTCCATGGCCGAGCCAGGATGATGCAGATTCAGGGAGGGCTCACCCAAAGGTCTGGCTCCAATCAGGCTTTGGACTGAAAGTCAAAGAAAAGGGCCCCCTTAAGCCCTCAGCACCCAGGTTCATCGAGACGCCGGAGTTTAACCCGGAAGCAATGAAGTTCCAGAAGGCATCCTGGGAATGCAGCCGAGCTCCGGGGTTGTTGAATTGCTTGCCTGGCATGCAAGAACTGCCTCTGTGGATTCTTTGTCGGTAGTGGTTGGTCACACAGTTAGGTGAGGCACTTTTACGTGCGAAAAGGACAAAACATCCTGAAGTCATGAAACTACTACAGGGCTTTGACAACTGTACCTGTGATGCTGTACACGCTTAAAATGTTACATGTTCAAGGCATTGGTCTGGGCCTGCAAGCAAAAGCAAAACAACGAGCTACAGCTTGACATGTGCAGGTACTACGCTTCAACAATTTGGGTTTCAGGGCTTTAGGAACCTTTAGGGATCTAAGGATGAAGGGTCAACTCAGGTTTTAGGGTTCAGGGTTTTGGGGTTCAGTGTTTGGAACTCAGAAGAACGAAGAAAGGCTTGGCGGTCGACTTTAGGTTGAGGGTTCCCGTTGCAGCTTGCTGGCATGTCGGGTGTAAGTGGTCCTTCGTGTCTCCGCAAGCCCTTGACTTGAGCATCCTGCAAGTTTTATGACTTTAGGCCCTCTCTTTCCGGCATTTGAGTCCTCACCTTCTAGTTAAACATCCCCATAAGTTCAAATCAGAACCCAGAAAGACACTGGCCTGGCGCCTGTGCAGGTTTCCCGGGAGTTCTATGACCAGACTGGGACCCATCCGCTGAGCACGGTGCCAATTAAGGCCTTGGGCAGCTGAAGGTCTTAGTAAGCCACAGCTTTGCAGCAGGAGCTGAACGGCCAAGACAAGTTCGACTAGCGCATAAGAGAACAGATGCAGGCGACAACAAAGCACGGGACTCCGCTCATTTGGCATGAATGTTTCACACTGCCGAGCGCTTGCTGGGCAGGACGCAGGGGACGAATGTGGTTAAATCTCATGAAATCCAAAGCCATAGCAGAGCAGCAGGCTTGCCATTTGCTGCAACACAACCAAACTGATTCCAATCAGGCGTTGCCGGACATGTAAAGGTTTCGGGCAGGCTGGGCGTCGAGGCGCTACATCTGTAGCTTTGACAGTTATTACACATTCACCCTGAGTTTCACAGTATTGCGGGCTCGCCTGCGGCTGAAGCTAGCCGCAAGCTGATGCCCATGAGTCTCACCAAAAATCATTGAATGCAAAATTCCGCAGCTAACATGACTTGAGCCGAATGGCAGGAGCCGTACCTACGTGCCCTCCATCAGTTGAGCAGCTGTCTCAGGTTCTTGTCTTGTAGGCCTTTGACAGCCCAACTCGCTTGCAGCTGCCCTCTGCGCATCATGTCATCATTGTTTGGGTTGATTAAAAGGGCTCAGAGTTGGGAAGGTTGGGGAGTTTGGAGTTTCAGGAAAGCGTTGAGACTTGCACTAAACCACGCTCGCCGCGTTGTGTTCTCAAGCGGTTCGGCCGGCGGAAGCTTCGTGTCGTCCTAGCTGGGAAGCGAGCCACACCAATATGGGCGATTCGCAGTCCATGGCAAGTGGGCCTGTCTTGGCCCAGTGCCTTCCGCGCTTGGTGGTGTCCCTGCTTCTGGGCGTAGGCGTCGCGAGTTTCTTGGCGTCCAAGCACGTTGCCTTGCACACCAACCAGAGGAGTGATGGGTATAGTAACTTAGTAGAGTTGTAGTCGAGCAGCTTAGAGCAGAGCAGAGTAGTAGACGAACTTTGCTAGTACCCGTTCAATTGGAGGACTGATGGCTTGCGACGCCTGGCCATGGCCACCACAACCACAACGACCACGACAACCACATTGAATTGTGCCTTGAAGGCCGAGGACGGCTGCAATGCGTGCGGCTTCTGGAGTCAGTGCTGGATGGAGGCCGGCGCTGGTTTAGGAGAATATAATCGACAATTACAGTAACAGGAGCGGTGTAATGTTGGACCCTTTTACCCCTAATTTCCCGCTACCCCGCGTACCCCCTTCTCCTGGACAGTCGGAAGGTTGTGCGGGAATAGGAAGAAAAGCTTAAGCTTCAGTGCTTGGGGCTTCCGGGGTTGAGGGCTTCGAGAGAAGTCAATGACCCCCAAGAATCAATTCGACACAAAAAGCTTGACCTTGTAGGGACCCCTCCAACAGTGGCTTGATCCTGAATAGGCTTGGCAAGCTTGACTTTACCGACAAAAGGGTCACCCAACACTAGAAGTGCGCGAGGTTGCCGAGTATCCGTGGTGGGACGAGCAAGGAACCCATTGCCCAGATGGCTGGGTTTACGACCCCGAGAGCGGTCAATGCCGAAGCTGCTCTTGCATGCAGGGCAATGGCTATTGGACCGAGAGGGAGTGCCGAGCCAAGAACGGTACGTGGTGTGGCCTCACCACAACCCCGACGACAACCACCACCACTACAACCACAATCAGCCCCCTGAGAGGGGATGGGAGGATTTTCGATCCCGTTCTCCAGGGTGAGTATGCATGTCGCGGTAGAACTCTGCAGGACAACAGCGTGAATCACTACGAAGTGCACCAGGGAATCGGATCATTGGAGGATCAGAGCGTTTCAAAAAAGGGACTCGTGCACGTAAGGTTTTGGGTAGTCGAGAGTCAGAAACGCTGGAACGCTACCACAGACCCCCTTTCTCCCCCCCCCCCCCCCCACTGCCTTGTAATGCCTGATTATCCATGTCCCCGTTTTGAGGAGTGCCGCGAGCTCTGCTTGGGGAGCCTCCCTCGATGCAAGGGAATTGAGTATGGCCACGGGCGCTGTGAAGTTTGGACTCGTCCTGAAGGTTCTGACAAAAAAGGGACGAAAGAGTGACACCCCCAAGATGTACAAACATTCGCACTTTAAACGGTGGATAGCAGTGCAGCCCTGAAGGCATTTTCAATGCTGTGCCGTTGGCAGGGACAGTCTGCGAGCGTTTCGGATGGCCTGTCGCGAAGATGACGGAAACCCGAGATGACATCGATACTCGATGCGTTATTAACTCCCGGGATGAAGGAGGTGAGGCCGAGGACGTCGACTGGCATGAGATTGTGGGATATGTGAAGAATCCCAGCTGGGCTTTGAAGTTGGAAGACTGCAAGGCTAGATGTGCCGCAGCACCGGTGTGCTTTGGCATCGATCTCCGTAGCTCGGGGGAGTACAACCATTATTGCGCGGTGTGGAAGCGCCCTGTCAAGTGGACAACAACCTACCGCTCGGGTACCCATCAGTGCCTGACCTTCCCTGAGCCGAGAGGCTGGGAGGTTGTCAAGTCTGCATCCGGCTCCAACGGACCCTGCAGAGGGCTGTCGCCGGAAGATAACAACGCACATCACTACACGGTCCGCAGCTATCCGGAACTCCCGCTGACTTTAGCAAGCTGCCAGGCGCGGTGCGCAAGAAGCCGGATCGGTCCGACTCCTTGTGTAGGCATTGAGTTCAGCACTGCGCGATGCGAACAGTGGATCCGGCGGGAAGGTATCTAGTGCGCTGTGCATACTTTTTCGTTTGGCTACATTTGGTCAGGAACAAACTGTCCCCGTCCTATCACACCCCTGAGAGCACAGCCTACGATTTGCGCACTAGGTATCTACCACGTTGCTGAGGGGCGGGCGGAGTTCACTTGTATGTGCCTTGAACTTTAGAATGTCGTTTGAACGGGTTCAGGGCCACTTAATTCGATTCGTGGTCGTCAGAACACCTAGGTTCAATCCAATCGTCGGCCCTTTTTCCCCTAGAAGTCTTTGCACGTAAGGCGCTACGGCTGGCCAGTAACTGCCTTGCAGCTGATGAGCTCCGGCGGTGCCTGTCGAGGCGATCACCGCACAGATAACTCGAATGACTACTTCGACGTCCATGAAGCTACACATGGACTTGATGACTGCACTGCCCGCTGTGCCGCCTCTCCTGCGTCTCAGCGGTTACAAGGTTAACTTTGAGCAGCCCAAAGCCTCGCTTAGCCCCACAAATTGAATCTAACTCCCGTTCAAAGAAACTAGCTGAAAGGGCAGTGTACCGTGCAAGAATAGGGCTCTCAAGGAGAGGTTCTTGAAGAGAGCGGTCAGACTCTTCGGATCTGTTGGCTGCATTTAAAGGACCTGGGCTTAGAATTGCCCTTGTTGTCTTCGAATAGTTTCCCCTGAATGAGCACTCTCCTCGCAATCAATCACCAGAACCCCAAAGGATCGCTAAATTTCTGGACGCTTAAGGCCCTATACTGTCTCGGCAACGTCCAAAATGAACCTTTGTCACAACTCAAGGTCTGCTTCGGGGTGGAGTTTGCCCCGGAGGGCGGCCGCTGTGAAGTCTGGCGACGACCAATCCGAGCCACGGCGCCAGTGCCCGGCCACGAGTGCTGGGCCTGGGCAATCCAGGGATTTTAAGCCTTGGAGGGATCTTAGGGGGAGCTTAGAGGGTTTAGGGCTTCAAGGAGGCTGGCTTAAGGATATAGGCAGGATTTAGGTTTGGCGCAGGCATCATCTTTTGGGGGGCCCAGTGTTTCTAAGCCGCAAGCTTGGCCGGTTTGAAGTGGCGTGACGTAAGGTCCAGGAGCTTCCTTTATTGGCACCTGGACTTGGAAATTGAACCCAGGAACTGAGCATTGTCAAAAAAGTTCCATTTGCAGCTGACCCTGATGAACCGACAAATACTCATACTTTGTGTGTTTTGCTTTGCTGGTAAATCATTTTGTACTGGATGCATTTGGCAATCCTCTCCTGGTCGTTACGTTTCGGGATTCAAGTCCCAGCAACTTCTGAACTGTTCTACGCTTCGGTTTGCTTCGCAAGACGTTTCCTAGCCCGGAGATCAGGTTCACCTCAAAAGGAGATTTATGGCGATGGTATCCGATGCTAGTTCCCGAGTGGTAAAACAGGATCAGCGCTTTGATGGGCATCATCCTGCATCAATAGACCATCCTGTGGTTCCCTAGAATCCCGATGAGCCTAAACCTTCGCCAGAGAACAGTTGGACTCGTGTGTTTGGGTACTGGTACTTCCACTAGGAACGGATATTCTTGAGTTGATGAAGCGACTATCGACGGCGGGAACTGCTGGCAGCCTGATGGGGTCTCCAAGATCAATTTGTCTGCGCAGCAGGGACATTGATTGTCACAGCTACAGTGGCAACTTGCAGGCTCACAAAGTCCCTGCAGGAACTGGACGGTCATTGCCTCGTGCGCGGATATTTCGAAAAGTTGGGGTGTGGTCCACTCAACTTTGATTGGCTACTCGGCTAGTCTGGTACAAAAGTCCAAGAATTCCCGCAGTATGTTATTCAGAGTCCCTGCTGTAACCTTTAAGGTGCAGTCGCAAGCTGTCGTTCATTCCCAGCGCTCGCCGACTTTTTGGGGTTGGGCGTGGCCTCAGAATTGCACCCCCACATTGCTACCGCCAAATCCTGTGCCCCAGTCAAACCCCCTGTTGCTGTGATGGCACGACTCCCCTGCCCGTAGAGCTTCGAAAAGGATGTAGGTTGGGATATCTAGAGCATCTGCTTGCAGGATCACTTGCGTCGCTTCCAGTTGCAGGTGTTGGCCTCAAGGCAGCAAAACATGGTGTCGTATCGGACCTTTTGGAGAGGCCGATTTACAAGTTGCCACCAAAGCACTTACTCCTCCGAAAAACAATCGCGCGCCATCCATGCCTCGGGACTTAGTGCTCCTGCCATCCCATGACGGCTTTCAGACCCGATCAAGCAACAAAGCGAACTCAATCTCTACCAGCCTCGCCGCAAGAGCATATTGGACACATTGCACACGTTTCTGCCGTTGAAGCCACTGCCTGTGCCTTGACACGGCTGTCCTTGGGCTGAAGCGCCTGGGCCCTGGCAGAGGGACACAGGCGGTGGCAGGGTTCCAGATTTGGCGTGATTGGCCTTCGAGGTCCAGGGATTTGGGGTTGTTCAACCACGCTCTCTTTGTGTGGATCAGGATCTGGGCAGCCAGGTTTTAGGCCATTGCCAAGGCATTCCTTTGCATCCTTCGTTCCAAAGCCACTAGGCTTCGTTTAACTTGGCCCTCAAGTCCAGCGAGTGCTCTCAAAGCTTCAAAGTTCCCCCGAAGATCTACAAATGCCTTCGCGTTGAGCCCGTGAGCTCATATGTAAACGTTGTTCGCATGGCAGCCGGTTGTTGGCTGTGCACCGCCAAATTGAGGCATTACTGCGGCATTACCCCCGCGAGGAAGCAAGCTGTGCTTGGCAGTGATGCAGTCTCGCCCTCGAGATTTTCCGTGGGAAGGATGGGCAGGATGGTGTAGGATGGTTGAGGACTGTACACAGAAAGGACCAAGTTCCGCTGAAGCCCTGAAGAGCAATCGACACAAAAACAGCATTGAAATACCTTGACCGCCCTTGAACTCCATTCCCTTGGCCGCAGACATTACTTGAGCGTTTCTCGAACCTACAATGCCTGCTGCATCTCGCCAGGCAGCAGGCGGTTTGGGCACAAAGGCCACGGGTTTTTTGTCAAGTGCAAGGTGTTTGTTCGGTTTGGTTTTGGGGTCTGAGGGTCCAGGTAGTGGCTCTACAGGGCTTCATCGAGTGGTCGTGAGAGTTGAGTGAAGGGTTGAGAGTTAGAGCCAAAGAAGCATCTTGTCTACGGTCACTTCTTCATTCTAGTGGATCGTCGTCCTCTTGGACGTTGGCCAAGTTGTGAGCGCACCGAGTATAGCAGAACCGTATACCGCACGAACAGCCTTGCTGGTCTGAACCCGCGGAAGTCGCCCATCCACAGCCCAATGCGTCTTGTAGAGACTTGAAGCTACGCAGAAATCCGCCAACATGTTTAGCATTGCTTGCAGGAGCATCCTCAAGGACCCATACGTGCGCTGAGTCTTGGCAACCTCCTTTCCACTTTCGACCAGGACGGCGCATCATGGGGATCATGGTCGCACTTTCGCCGGGCAAGTTGCGCAGGTGTCAAGCAGGCGCCATCAGTCCCGGGTGAAGCCTGGTGTGGGTTGGGGGTTTGGGGATATTTGGGGATACTTGGGCTCGAGGGTTGCTGCGGGTTTCACGGATGGATGTCACTGTCGCTTCACGGACTTATGGTGTGTTTCAGGTCTTTAGCAAGGCTGCTGACTGGAGTGTTTTTGAAGTCTTTTGGAGGCAGCTCAGAGCGTGTTAGTGTTAGCGGCCTGCAGTGGCAACGCTATGTGAGGCCTGTGCTCTTATCTCCAAGTGTGCACCTGGCTCGCTTGTTGCAACTTGCACCTTTGCACAGTTCGTTTCTTGATGGTCAAGGTTCTTGTTTGAAGTTTGTCTGCAATTTACATGGCGCATCCGAGTTGTTGGAGCAACTCCGAAGCAGGTTCACTACGTAGTCAATTTGCGCTGTCTGCCCTTGAAGCAGGACTTCCCTGACCTAGTCGCATCCTTTGATCCCCAATGCTTGGGCCAGTATCGCAGTCCCCCGATGCCGGCCAAAGTGTTGGCTGGGGCCCGAGATGCGGTGCTTTGGGGAAGTACCGTGCAGCAGGCATAAAACAGTAGAGCTTGCGATCAGAGCTTCAGGAAGTCTCATGACCGTGAACCGACTCCTGCGCTGTCTTGAAAGGTTTTGAATTGCAGTGCACCCTTTTGTGCAAGCTTGATGTGTTGAAGTAGCGTAAAGCGTCAGTTCCATCACTGCAGATCATTTCTGATATCGCCCATCACAAAGACCATCGCGACATGCAATCAGCGCCGCTGCAACATCTTGCAGTTGAACTCTGGCCAAATGCAAACCTCGCAGATGTGTTCGAAGACCCTCAGGCAAAGCAACAACTGTCCGCGCAGTCAGCGCGCCCGCAACAGCGACCTGGCTTTCGATTTAGCGCATGCAGTGAGTGAACTAAAAAGAGACCCACAAGCATGAACGCTGGGGAGCGCTCAGGAATCAGTAAAGCAAAGCGTTGCAGCGGGGCTTGGGATCCCAGCTCTCTCTTGGCCAGTGTTCCGCCTCAGGAAGCTGGCCAGCGCCCCTGGAAAGCGGAACCCGCACTTGGGCCGAGAGGTGTGAGATCCCAGGAGTTTATGCTATAGCTAGAGTTCCGATGTTTCTGGCTTGTGTTTGCTGGGCATCCCATTCTTGCCTGCGGCCCTTTTTCCCATCCTTGCTCTGCTCCCGGGTTGAGAATTCGAGGGTACTGTATCATTCTGCCGGGCCAACTGCCGGGTTAGGCGTAGTGTTGTCCAAGCACTTTTTAGCAGCTAGAGTCTTTAGGCGTAGTGTGCCAGAGTGCATGGGGATAGCACATTCTCCGATATCTTGCACATGTTTTCTCTGAATCCGTGACAGCTGCAGGAGCTGTTGAAGAGCCGCCCTGCAATCATAATCAGAGTCGAAGTTTTGATCTGTGATCATGTGGAGAGGCCTTTGTTGGTAACTCTCGGAAAGCGAACGGCTCTGCCAACGTGCATGTGGTCACGGCGAACACAGCAAGCGGATGACCGACCATCTACACCAAGCGTATTGACACCGTCATGGTCGAGCCCTCCCACTTTCACGAAAATTTCACGAGATGCGACATGTGGAACCTGTGCACAGACGTTTTGGGACGACCTCTCTTAGCTAGGCATTGTACACGACATGTAAGACTAGCATTGCGTCCGTTCAGGTCTCAGCTTCCTGAGGGATACAGATGTCGAAGTTCTTGTGCGGGTGTCCTCGGTTGTGCCAGGTGGAGGTTTGGTTTCGCATCTCCCGGGAAAAGTCGCAGCGCGGTGGAACAGATCGAGAAAGGATGCACCACGGGAGTTTACAACCTCAGGGCATCGGCCCTGGCATCGCTCTGGCGCCTGGGAAGATTGGGGATGGACATGGATGAACTGGGGAGGGGGCCATTTTGGCGGCGACCACACCACGCAGGCAAGTCACGGGCGTTTGCCTGCCAATGCACTGAGATTGGTGAAAGGTTGTGCGGAAGGCATCCAAGAAGACCCCGCCTATCCAAGTGACAAACGGACGTGCCAGCACAACAGGAAGTTGCATTGGTCCTGGTGGGCTAGAATAGAAATTGGACAGTTCTGAGTCAAAAGTCGTTCGTGCAGAAGCCCGCTGCTGGTCGTTGACGATGAACAACGGGACATGAGAGTTACTGGTGCAACGCACCAAAGGCACCTATCATGGTGCAAGTTGAAAATATAAGCATGGACGACATCTGACCAAAAGATCTGAACTTCGGAATCGGCGCTTGCTACACTTCTTAGAACGCTTAACCCAAGCCCCAAAACCCTTAACAAGCAGCAGCCCCGAGAACCCCGCCAGAAGCCTTCGATCTTCAATTGTTTCACTTCACAATCCAGCCATCAGCTTTCGGTTGCCAGATGACCGATGATCCCAAAGGGCCACAAAGCCGTGCCCTCATCTGCAGCAATGCAGCATGGAAGTGGAACCCTTGGCA